CTATCAGTAGAACTCAGCCACAAAGAGTACCCCGAATCCTAGGACATAATGGACACCATGTCTGATGTAAAAACACAAATATTTCTAGCCACTCCTCCAGATTCCTGCATTTGACTTCAGTCTAGACTTACTGGCATGTGTAAGAAGTGGCTGCTCAGGAGAAACAGCTAGGAGGCTGGCTGTCTTGGACAGACAGACACTGTTACAAGATAGGAGGGACAACTGTGGAACTCAGTCTTTTTCTGAAAAGACTTAATAGATTTCATAAACATTAGGGCTGGAAGGGACCTTGGAAGATCATTGAGTCCAGCCCCCTGCCCAAGGGGCAGAATGTCAGCTGGGGTCATAGGATGCCAGCAAGAAAAACATCCAGGTTTCTCTTGAAGGTGTTCAGTGTAGGCGCTTGAACCACCTCCGGTGGCAGGCCATTCCAGACCTTGGGGGCTCGGACAGTAAAGAAGTTCTTCCTTATGTCCAGCCTGGAACGGTCTTGCAGGAGTTTATAACCGTTTGACCTTGTCATCCCTTGGGGCGCTCTGGTGAACAAAAGTTCCCCCAGATGCTGGTGGTCACCCCTGATAAACTTATAGGTGGCCATTAGATCGCTCCTGAGCCTGCGCTTTTCCAGGCTGAAGAGTCCCAGGACTCTCAGCCTGTCATCGTAGGGTCTGCTTCCCTGACCTCTAATCATGCGCGTGGCTCTTCTCTGGACTCCCTCAAGCTTCTCCATATCCTTTTTGAATTGTGGGGCTCATAACTGGATGCAGTACTCCAGCTGCGGCCTCACCAAGGCCGAGTATAAGGGGAGAATGACGTCCCAGGATTTGCTTGAGAAAAATCTGTGGATGCAAGCCAGTGTTTTGGTCGCTTTACTAGCTGCAGCATCACATTGCAGGCTCGCATTCATCTTGCGGTCAATCCTGACCCCCAAGTCGCTCTTGTCCGTAGTGCTAGCCAGCGTAGCACTGCCGAGCCTATAGACATGCTGCAGGTTTTTCCTCCCAAGGTGGAGAACCTTGCATTTTTCAGTGTTAAACACCATCAGGTTCTCATCCGCCCATTTACTGAGCCTGTCAAGGTCAGCCTTGATTACTGCCCTGTCCTGAGGTGTGGATGCTTTACCCCAGGGGTGTCCAACCTTTTTGAATGTGGGGCCAGATCACGAACTTTTTATCACCCAGTGGGCCGGTGAGCCATATTCAAAGACCTCACAGGAAGTAGTATCACATCAGGAAGTGATGTCATGTGACCTTTGACACCAATGAAGTTGCAGGAAGTGACAATGAAATGGGTCTAACCAGTTCAAAACTCTCCCTCTAAATGACTCATTTCCTGGATCTCAGCAAGTAAGCTGGAGTTCTCAGATAATCTGCAAGAGTCACAGAGCCGTTAATGTCACAGTCCATCAGTCCAGTTGCCCTGTGCTTTAGAGTCCCAGTGAAGACATTAGCACTATTTCTGGCTGTGCAATGTTTGAACATCCCCAGTGGAGGGAAGCCATCCCACTACAATTCATTCATTTTACCCAATAACATATATCAAGTCCTTCTAGGGAAACATCTATTTCACTCCACCAACCTGTCCTACCAGGAACTCTTCTCCCCTTTGCTACACACCTCCAACATCGAGGGGCCGTGGGGTCTGGTGGGTCTCTGCCCCCTGAAGAAGCTTTCTCACTGCTAGAGACTATTGGGGAGGGCCCAACCCCCCCACCAAACCGCAGCTAGCCATAGTTTTCCTTTAGCTAAAGTTTCAGGGCCGCACCTGGCACCATGCAAATGCCTGGGTATTCCAGCGCAGGGAGGCAAGGAGGAACCACTGGGGCCGGCGCAGAAGAGAAGCGTGGCCGCGCACGTGGAGCCTGGAGTCCATGCAAGGGCCCGCAGAAGCGCTCAGGCCCCGCGCCTGTAAACGGAGCAGGATTTGGCCCGAGGGGTTAGGGCGCCTCTTGGCGCTGAACCAACGCTCTGTGAGCAGCACATCCCTGGGCCGCTCCGTGCCAGACTGCGCCGGACTCTTCTGAGGCCTGGCCCCACAGCTGCCCCGCGCCAGGCACGGAGCTGCGAGAAACCTCGCCGGGTCGGGCCCCGACCCGCTGGGGGATCCTGGAGCCCAGCAGGGGCAGTGCGGTGGGAGACGTGGTGAGGAGAGCGGAAGGGCGGCTTCAGCTGCATGCTGCTTTTCCTGGCCGGTGCTGACCTGGCTGGGTCCGTCCCATCCAGAGCAGCATGTGGCTGAAGCCAGCTTCCCATGTGCTGCTGGGGATGGGGGGGAGCCA